TTTCGGTTTTGGATAGGACGTTTTTCGTTCATTTGCATTCCCCCCCCCCCCCCCCCCCCCCCCCCCACTAGCTGTTACATACCTATATATATGTCCTTGCATTTTTCCTCCTCTGCACCGTTACTCCCCTTGTCATTAATCCCCCACACAACTACTTATCTGCACCTTTACTACCCACTGTTAAAAATCTGACATAGATCGAAATTCTTTATTGTAAAACCTTTGCTGAAAATACCATGAGCTGAAAACAGAAATTGACTAAATTTTCCAATATTCATTCAAAAACTAATGAGGGGGTGTATCAGTGTGGGGAAGTAACAGTGCAGAGGCACTTTTATGTGGGAAACATAATTTTGATGAGGGTAGTAATGTTGTAGGAAAGTAGCCATGCTTGGACATAAAGTTTTTGATTTCCAATGTTTTCTTCAGTTCATTTATGTGGTGACTTTGACTGGGCTCCCGTACCTAGATCAATCTAACAGGATTGACCCATCTCCGAAAGGGTTCTTGCTAAATTGTTTTCAGCTTGAGCAACTTAGACGTCTGGCATGTCTACAGAAGCTGCTTAACGATAATTAATTACCCACTAGCAGCTTCAATAGGCATGGCAGACATCTAAGCCAATTAAGTTGATTGCAACTTAGCAAGAATCCTCTCTGACATAGATCGATTAAACAATTAATACAATAGGGTCTGGGAATGGTCCCTTTGATCAATATCACTGTTATTCACCTGAATTAGTGTGGGCCGTGGCAATTACTTACTAATTTTTTGATGAAGCTCATTGATATAAAATGAAAGATTGGGCCATTTCAGAGGTAAAATTTTTCTGTAATGTCATGTTATATCATCAGTCAATGAACTGGAAAGTTTTTTTGTTAAAAGAAGGAAGAATGAACCAAATTATTCTATCTTTGATATAATAATCCAAATTTAAAATTTTGATTGCAATGTTAAAAAAAAATGTACAGATAGTAATTTTTTATCAAGCACATATATATTGTTAGTTTAGATTCAATATACATATAGGTCTAAGTTCAATTTGTTTCATAGCATAACACTACCTTACACACTCATCATTTCAGTTAGATTTCTGTATATTAGAAATAGGCATGTACTGATATAGATGCTCAACATTGCCTGACAAAATGGCCTACCCATGCAAATATCCATACTTCTCAAACACGTCAATTGATTTTGCAGTATAATATAATTATATCTATTAACAAAATGACATAAAATGTTACGTAACTTAATACAAATGAATAAGAAAGTGTGTACATATATACATTGACACAGTGTAAAATAAATTAGCTTAACCAGCTTAGATAAACATTGGCACATTGTATCACTATGTGTGTTATGAAATATTCATACACAGCTCATATAATTTGCAAATATGATTTTAGGTAGCTTCAAAAAATCAGAAACACCATGAGTTGGTGGGAAGCAGCAGGGTTTTCCAACCTTGCCCAACAGGCTCTGAAGACTGCTCAGAAGAAAATTGACAAGGTGCTTGATATACAGGAAGAAGATGGAGAATTAGATGACACAAAGGGTAAGTTGTCTGCTGATTTTTTTCTTTTCGAGATCTACTCATGTATGTTTTCTATCTTGCTTAAGTTTCTTTTAAAGATGCTGATTGCATAAGCTTTTTATTCTTAAATAATATCAGACTATTCATTATTTATTACTTGATATGAATATACGTGGTATGCTACCGTCAGTTATTTTTATTATGATATTAATATTTGATATTGCCCACATGACATTGAACATCCAGATGTTCCGTGACAGAATAGATTGTGCCAGACACTGCTTTGCTATATACACTTTCTAATGGATTACATTGCTGTTATAGGTCTTGCATCATCTCCAAAAAAGGCATCTTCTCAGTCCAAGAAAACTAGTCAAGAAGATAATTTTTGGAACAGTTGGTCCAGCTCCACTATTTCACAGAAAACTGAAAACAAGGACTCGGACAAAAAATCCCAGCAGTGGAAACAATGGAACTGGTGGAAAGATGATAAGGATAGCGCTGGTAAATTTGACAGTCATCAGACAAGCTCTGAGTCTGTCATAGAGGAAGAACAGAAATCAGAAAGCCTTGAAAACTTAAGTGAAGCTTCATCCCCAACGTCACTTTCTGTTGGACCTAAGTCACCAACAAGAAAGAGTACTGCTTTAAAGCTGGGGGCTAAAAAGAAAGCACAATATGCTAAAAGCCAGGTGCAACAGAGTGACGGCACAAGTTCTGTATCTATGGAACAGGTAAATGCTGCAGAGGAAATGTTGAATTTTGTTGATTCTGGAAAGGAAACCCTGTCAGAGACTACAGAAACTGAGAAAAGAACAGATGAAATCACAGAACACAAACAAAGTGTGATTGCTGCAGAGGCAAACAATGAGTTAGCTGAAGTACCTGCAAAGCCTCAGCAGATAGGCGAGTGGATGGATAAGTGCTTAGATTACACTGACAGTACAAGTGAAAATGATGTGAAAAAATCAGTTGAAAATTTTGAAGATGCTACTGATGTGACAGAGGAAAAGAATGTGAGTGAGGAAAAAATAGGGGAGTCTGATGGTCCATCAGAAAATATTGAAGGTGTTAATTTTGGTGAAAATGTAATAGTGGGTGCTTTAAAGACTGATACACATGTAGGAAGCAATGAAGAATTGCACACAGCTCAAGAAGAAAAGATAGACATTGGTTTCTCTGAAACTTTACCAATTGATCAGAGTGATGATCAGAATGAAGTGAAAGACAGTGGTGATGTATCAAACACTGATGCCATGGCACAGGCTGCTTCAGAAATACTGGAGACTAATCAGGAGAAAGATAAGGAACAAGAATTTTTAATGGAAGACATCTCAGTAAATGACCAGATACCACAAGAAGATGAGCCCAAGAAAGATAACACAGAAATGGATTCCAACAGAGACACTGCAGGAGCAGGAAATGCTCTATGTGTAGATAAAGCAGAGGAGAAGAGTGTACTAAAGAGTGAATCTGCCTCTGAGACTGTTGATGTGGAAAAGGTAACTGAGTCTTCAGTTGTGAAAGAGGATAGTTTAACAAACAACGGACTGGAGAGTATTTTAAGAGATCATTCCACAAGCTCTGTATCGACAAGTAGCGATACATCAAGCACCATCACTGTTTATCACAATAATGAACAGAAAGATTCCTCAGACAGTAGTAATAGCATTTTTTCTGATGTCACGTATATTAAAGTAAAGGAAACTGAAGAAAGTATCTGTGGGAGTGACGGCATGGTTAAGGGTGCTGCTGAAAAGGAAGGAGATATTCCAAGTGTTGAAAAGGAGGTGAACTTCCCAGAAGGAGAAAGTTCCAAATTGGAAGAAAATCAGAAAGCAGAATTGGATACATCAGAGGACACAGTTACTGTGGAAAATTTGTCCATTTCTGAAACTAAAAATGAGAGTGTACCTGTAGATTGTGAAGAAAGTGATAAGCAAACCGAGGCTACCACAATGGCACAGTCTATGGTGTCATCTTCTAGTAGTTCTTCCTTTGTTAAATGTATGATTGATGATGCAATGGCAGAGAGCACCAAAACAGAGGATTTGGAATCACCATTGTCCAGTGAAAAGTCTGACCTTGTGAAAGTAGAATCCAGTCAGAATAGTGGGCATACTTCTGGGGATGAAATGGATACCACTAATTCTTCAGACATTGAAATCTTGTCCATACCCACACCCAACGGAGATGGAAAGGAAAAACCATTTGATTTGTCCCCACTGCGACAAGCTTTGAGCAGGTAATGCTTAACTAACATCAAGAGTAAGCCTCTCTCTATTTTTTACTATATATATGCCCAGTTGTGCATAATATTATGAAAAGATGTAAATGCCCTAAAACTTGCTTTAACAAATGTTTATTTAAGTAAGATTTTTCTAAGTGACTCCCTGCTGGCTTTTGTCAGTAGCATGATCAGTGGGCTTACATACTATATGTTTCAGAAGTGTGAGAAGCATGGTTCCTGGACATCGCCGCAATGACAGCCATGACAGTTGTAGCTCTAATGACAGACAGAGCCCAGAAAATCTAGACAGGCTGGATTTGCTGGCAGGCAAGAACCCTGACAGAAGACATGCTTCAAGTAAAGGTTAGCTTGAAATTTTTTAATGTAGATTATTTTGAAAATGTTCTCTAGCTATCATAGTGCTTTTCATCCACATACAATAACAATTGAAGCTGTATCTGAAACAACTGTGTAAAATTACAGTAATGGCTTGATCTGTTTAATGGGGAAAATTATTAATTTTTCAGATGCAAAATTTTGGAATCATTAAAATTATATTTTTATATTGCATGTGGTGCTTTTACTGTATATAATAGAACTATAAGGAAGCCTGTTTTTCAGTTTTGTTGCTGCCATTCAATAGGAATGTTCTAATTTTAAGAATAATAACCTTAGAAAATAGTCTGAATGTATCTGTAATATTCACAATTTTCTCCTTTGAAAAGGTTAAGTCATCACCATTCTTTATATATACAACACCCATGGATTTAAACACTAATTAAGAAACTAACAGTATTGTTTAGCATGATCAAAGTATTCTTGCCTTTTTATTTAGGCTTTTCATCAGATGAAAGTGAAGATCCTTATCATCCTCAAAAGCTTTTAAAGGTAGGTATACCTAATGTTTGCAGATTTTATTGGTATTTAATACTGCATTTGAATGATTCTGAACCAATGGAATGCTTTTTTATGTAAAGATAGACGTCACTGACAGCCTGTAGGTTTTGCATCATAATTAACAGGTAGCATGTATGTAATGAAGCATGTAAATGGATATTTATCTTATAAACTTTAACTTTGCATGAGAAGTAAAATAGGATATAATGGGTTCTAATAACAAATATCAAATCAAAATAAACATTACAGATGTAAGTAGACTATGAATTTTTAGCGCTTTGCAATGTGATGTTGCCTTGTGCAATCTGTGTTAATTCATGAAAGTACAGGTGGAATCAGAGAATACAGTTATTTCTCACTGTTATGATCTAAGATTATTAGTTATATTTCCCAAAATAAAATTTGGTTTAGTATCCCTACAGTAAGGTAAAAATGAAATAATCATATTAGTAAGTCAAAGTATAATAATGAGTTGGTTTCAAATGTAAATAAGCTATCTGATTATGATATACTCACCATAGAAAACCAGTGCACCTTACTGACATCTAAATTCTAAGATGATGTTGACGGATGGTACAAAAGAGGGATCTAAACTGCTGCCTATGATGAGCAAAACGTAATCAGGCATCATGCTGAAAAGATACCTAATGAATCTTGGCAATTCCTCTCAACTGAAAACAGTTTTGAAGAAAAGACTTCACCAATGTTGATGACAATAAGGCCCTTGTCACTGAGTGGTATACTTTAGTGATACAGTTGTAACAGTACACTTTGAGGGGCCTTAAAGTTCACTTCCTACAGTGGGTGAAAATTTATGAATTGATCATGTAGTGCTGGAGAGCTTTTTGTAGGTGCCTCCACAATGGTCTATTATTATTAAAAGACCCACATTTGGCAAAATAGCTTTTACCCTTGTCTTATATGTGAAATACTTATCTTAATATTAGCGCAATAAGAAAAGACACTTCGTTGATAGCTGGGAGGGTGAGGAAGACCTGTGTGAAAGTGATATTACTGTTTTCACCCAAAAAATCCTGCTGTCACACAATCAGCTTGAATCAGCAAATTTGCCCCAATGAATGCCACAGCATTATCTTATAACATGAAAGTGTATGTTTCTACAGTATCTACTAGTATGCAGATACAGAAAAAAATCTTAATGTACAAAACTCTGTTAAGTTTTCAGTCTCTCAAAATGTACCCGTGCAACTGTATCGCCTAAGTAATTCATTCGATGAGAAAAGGGCCTCATATTAAACACCATTCCTACTGTAGTGATTCCCTAATTTTCTTTGCCAGTCAATAGACCCTAACCTTCCCAATGCTGAACTGGCCAAGGTAAGCTGGGTGCACAGTGTGCTCTCTGTTAAAGCTGCTCTCTGCTTATTATCATGCCTTGCAAAGTCTTAAGAAACTGAAAGTCCTTTTCTCAACAGTTTTCAAGATCGGTGGCCCCATTTGGCAAAGAGTCTAAAACTTGATGTAAACTTTAGGCCTAAAACTTGGGCTGTTTCAGTTTTTGCCTCTGAAGGAAGATCTTAAGCCATTTTGGAGAAAACTGATGAAAACAGGACGTGATACTGATGGAAATCCTTGAGAACATAATGTCTGATATGGAAAATCAAAATTATTTTTATTTTAATATGGTTCTAAGGTAAATCAGGATGATTCAAGATGAGATTTACTGCTTGATTTTTGATATTAACTTTTACAAATGGAACATGATGTTTACATTTCATATATTAGACATTATTGGTAGGTTTTTCATCACCTATAATTTTCTTATGGACTTGCAGCTTTCTTGACTTGGTTGGACATTTTCAGTGCATTGAGGATCTATAACCCTAACATGATTATGGAAGTGCCAAAAATAAGCAGGCAATTTCCTACATTTATTGGTGTATCCCATCTTTTAATTGATGAAGTTAGTCACATGAAATGGTGTTGGTGAAAGAAAAAGTTCAATTTTTTAATTTGGCAAGAGGAAATTCATCAAATTGGACAACCATTTTAAATCAACCTTTCCTTGATTTATAGAGACGAGGCAAATGTTTTAAGTGGCAGATGCAAGCTAAGCCTGTAATGCAATTATGAAAAAATTATGTGAAGACACATTTTTCCAAAATATTAAATTTACTTAATGATTGGATAGCATTTTTTAATGTTTGCACAGGCTTGCTTGTGTCACAGCTTGTTGGTATGATTTGGAAATAAAATGCTCACAAGTGGTAAAATGTTCAGTGGAAATAACAATTGGATCATTATGAAAGGATGATGTGTTACATTAAGGGATATTGATATATTTATAATATATATTTTAATCAGTTCCAAGAAATAAGTTAAATATGTGGTATCAAGCACATGTGACATGTTCCTTAAATGTTTTATATGCACATTTTTTTTGTAACTGTGATTGACATTTGCATGAATTTCAGTTTGCTTCTAATGTTTATTGGTAAATAAAAGATTTCTTTTAAGTGTATGTTGGAACTCGAGTAATAAAATTTGTGCATTCTTTTGTCGATAACACCAATTGGAGAGTACACTGTTTGTTTTGTGATGTGTGAATAACATGTTTGTATAGAAGAAAATTACATTCTCTCTATCTCTATCTCTGTCTCTCTCTCTCTCTCAGAGCTTTTTGCTCTCTGGTTTATGATACTTCCTCATTTGTATTAATGTTGTTTCATATGCCTTTTTTAGACCAATTTAATCCTTTCTGAAATAAATTTTAGTCATATTTATCCTCCTGATATATTTTATAATATTAAGTCAGAACTGTATCTCTCTGGGCAGCATATTGTTGATGAGTGAAGGTGTAAGACATTTTATAATCTGTTGGCTGAATATCAAGTTTGCCATTTTAGAAACTAGCTGAAACTGCAGAAATTTTAGAAGCAAGAGAGAACAAGCTGCTTCAGCAAAGCAAGGAAAACATGGACCTGTCAGAAGAAAATTCTATTTTGAGAAAGTAAGAAAATTCCTTGTAAAAATTGCATTTTTGTTCTTTAAATTGGTTTTTGTCTTGTTGCATCCTTTCATAAATATATTCTTTCAAGTGTTCCAAAGAGGTGGCAGCCTTTGATGGGTAAAAATTATGTTTGATTTATATCTCATTATCTAGCCAACTACAACAAATGCAGAAATCTCATGAAGAGGAGTTGACAGATGTGACAACACTGTCAGAAGAGTTTGGACACAGACTCACTGAAATGGAAAAGAAGCTGCAGGCAGCTTATAAGGTAATCATGTTGCATGTATCCAGTTGTGTGTGTGTGTGTATGCATCCTTTTACAGTATGTTACAAAAGTGGCTAGTCATATAGCAACATTAATTTCACTCTTTTGAACGTGAAGTTTGAAATGGGAGTAATACTTTAGGGAAATTAAATATAACAATTTATTATTTTTCTTTGCAGGAAAGAGACAATATGAAGAGGCAGTTGACATCAGCTGAAGAGGAGCTGAAGAAAAAGTGTGTTTTATGTTCATTATTTTTTTTATCTAAATAATGTTTGATTTTTTTCTCAGAAATTAGATTCCCCCCTCCTTATATGAAACAGTAGTGTCATGCTTAAATCAATACAAGTACATAATTGAATCATTACAAGAATGTAAGTTAGAACTTATGTATTTCCCCACTATTTTTCATCAAATTTTTGTTTTCTTGTTTGTAAAGGATCCGTGACCGTCAGACAATACAGTTAATGAAGGAGAAGGATGAGCAAATTGCTGAGCTGTTGGAGGAGGGTTTGTACAATGTATAATTCTGCCTAAACGTTGCCCATTTGACAGTTAGATAATTAGCTTCACCAAGGAATTTGTTTTATCCTCTGTTATTTACTAGCTAACAGCCACACTCAAAACAGATAATGGAAGATCGATAAAATTTTCTGGAAATTTAGTAGATTTTGGTGATAATCCATTATTTGATTGACAAATAAAAATGAATGAAAAATGAAAGTCTGCTGAAAGTGTCATGTATGCAGTTGCAACTAAAGAGTTTTTCAAGAAGTATTTCTTTCCTTTTAGGTGAAAAATTATCAAAACAACAGCTTCAGAGCAATAATATCATCAAGAAGCTGAGAGCCAAAGAAAAAGAGAGTGAGAGCTTGATTAAGTCAAAAAAGTAAGGATGGACAAGCCTTCCTGGCTTCCCAGAGATAGTGAATATGACTTTCCCCAGAATACCTTTCACTCTGTATTCTCTAAATTTTGTATTAAAAAGAAACTAATGCAATAGATTCTTATGAATCACTTACATCACAGATATGTCAATATATGTGCCATAATACCAGTGAGAATATTTACATGTATTTTACATGTCCATTTAGGCAAAAAGTTGAAGAGCAAGCAAATGAGATATCTCATCTTAAAGAAGTGCTAGATTCTAAAGAAGTTTTGGAAAAGAAACAGACAGGTATGTAATTGATTAGTTGGTTATGTAGTGAGTATAGAACATATCAAATGAGTACTTAACTTATTTACAAACCATTAAATAAATTTTAATGTTATTATGAAACAGATCTTAATATAAGTTGGCAAAGGACCATTACATAATGTTGCACATGTTTCCCTTTGACAACTGTCACATTAATTTAACACTTAATTTATAAAAGCCATGGTGTAATACCATTCTTTTTAGATGCAATCAATCAACTGAATGCAGCAGTTCAGAAGCAGGAAAAAGAGATTTGGAAATTAAAGGTATGAAAAAAGACCAGCAATAACATTTAAGAAAATTATTTGAAAAAATTAACTCTGGTTGACTATATAGGTAGTATATAGCATATTGATTAAGAAGTAAGGTACCAAATTAAAT